AGCCTGTCATCTTACTGTTCTTCTGCTGGACTTCGTGAGTAGCAATATGAGACTGCATCTCTTATGGTCCACATGCGGGAATTTGTTTCGGCAGCATTGGGAAATGAAAGTCTCAGTTTAAAACTACATGTTAATGATAATATTTCAGAATATAAGGCTCCCGTCTATCACTGAGCATCTTAACATCAGACTGTACTGTTGTAACGCATCTCAAATTGCTCGCTTACAGATTGGTTGGTTATAGAGGTACAACTATGCTGATTGTGAAGTTTCTTCCAATATTTCTTGCAATATCCGCAGCGCAGGCCGCTTCTATTCCACTCGAAGGTGATTCAGGTGAGTGTAACATAATTGGATCTCCATCTATAGTTTAGGGGAGAGCGGAAAATAACGGCCACTTAAGAGAAATGCAAGATAAAACGAAAAATGTATGCTCAGATGAAAATTTATATAAACTGGCATGTAGTATGAAGGGTCTACTCCTTATGCATTCAGTAACGAAAACATTCAACATAACGGTAATTTTCTAGGGTGCGATAACTGAAGAATAGCTTTGATCAATATTCTGTACCCCTAGGGATAGTGACGATCGCTATGTGAGCTTCAGGATATCATTGAAGTAAAGAAGACGATGGCCAGATAAAATGTATTTTATCATGAAATAATAAACACATAGCTTAGCTTACAAAATGTGTACACATCTAAATTGAGGTACAAATTGTAACAAAACTCAGGAAGGAACTCTTCCTGTAGACAACACAAGTCTGTTAATTTTTATTTTTCCCGTCTCAAACACAGGTCACAAAAATAGTCATCTGGAAATTCCCATCCACTAAGCACCGCGTGCGCCCAAATACCACATCTTGTACATCTAAATCAAAGTTCTCAGTCTTCCCCAAATTCTTTACAGATGCAAAGTTCATCATATTCTGCTTCTGTGTCAGCATATTCAGTGTAATCACATATATTTTTATTTCTTTATGTCGTTCTCCTCTTCTATTAAGTCACGTCTGGCTGTATATTTAGATTCTTCCTGTGACGTTTATTTGTCACTTTGACGCATCTTTCCTTGCCCTCTCTTTTCTTTGAAGAAACTCGTGTTATTATCCTGCTCTTCTTATGTCGTTTTGAGTTCCTCTTTACTGTCTTCCTTTCCAAAGGAACCTTCATGGGTGTTCTTGTCAGAATCTCAGAATGCTGCTTCGCACTGCTTTTTCTACAAGATGTCTGTGGACCCATCGCTGCTAAGGGGACACTGCTTCAATCGTTACTGACAGAGAAGGCAGTCCCTGAAGCATAACGAAAGTTGTGTGATGAGAATTAGTGCCATCTTCTTGTTGAGGCAAATATAAGTTACAGTAATGTCTGGTGTGGATGCACTAGATAGATTACAAAGTATTCACAGTTACAAAATCATCTTCTCAAAATACAACGGGACTCAAGAGATCCGTTTCTGTGACTTTGAAGTCAGACCAACTTTTGCAATTGTGGCCGCTTGAGAATAGACTTCTTTAAAAATTCCAACCAAGTCGTGGGGTGTTATTTACCCGGAACCTTCGTCTTGATAAAAAATCACTCTCTTTGTAAGAGACAGCTTTCAGTGAGACATGGAAAATCACATCCAGTAGTATCAGTATATGTGAAGTGTGGGGTGTTATAGAAACAACCACAATTTCACTTTATTTTTTTTTTATAAAATGTAAGCTTCCGGAGAACAATAGCTGCTCTGGTTGTCCAAGATCAATGGGAGAGGATTTCTCCATCCTTGGTCTTCTAAGCTGCGCAAAATGTGCCAACCAAGCAAGTTTGAGATTGTCCAGTCTGGCTTCGAACAGTTTTTAGGACAAGGGGGTCCATTCTTTTCCAGAAGGGGAGACATCCTTTGGCGAGCAAACACAATCATTGCTGGAATGGAGCTACTGTTTGCACTCCCTGTGTAGATTACTGCTGTGTATTCCTCGCTCCAAGCTTGTGAAAATGCCAACATTTTCTTGTTCTTTTGGGACTACAATGAAACCAGGACCTTGAATAGCTGAGATCCTAGTTTCGTCCAAGTTCAAGATATGGCTAAGTGGAAATTTGTACTTCACCATAATCTGTTACAGATTGTTAAAAAAGGTGTGACTACTGTTTTAGTAAACCCCTCGATTCTATTTATAATAGTCGCATCCGGTTTCTGATTCTAACAGATGGATTTACTTTTATGAAACTGACCAAGGCCGCGCCATAGCTCAAGCGGTTAGTCGCTAGTTTCCACCGCGGCGGCCCGGGTTCGATCCCACGTCTGGTCAAGTGGGATTTGTGGTGGACAAAGTGGCGCTGGGGCAGGTTTTCTCCGAGTACTTCGGTTTCCTCTGCCGATCTTCATTCCACCAATTGCTCCACAATCACCCTCACCTATCATCTGGGGCTGGTACAATAGGCCAGAAGTGGCCTCAGTACAAGGGACTTAGTCCCACCCCACTAGCAATTAAAAAACCTCTTTACTGCCGTCTTTATTGAAGTTGTGCTTGATTTCATTTCTTTCAGGAAACTCAAATGTCATTCTACGTAGCTGAACCAGACTCAATCCGTGAAATAGGCTAAGAGCTTCGCATGATTGATAATGGATTCCTCTTGTTCTTTACGAAAACATCATTCCTTACTAGCTTCAAACCCTCTGTTTAGCCTTTATAAATTTGTTCTTGTAATATAGTGATTGGAATATTGAAAGATTTCAATACTGATCTAATAGATTTACCATCCTGGCCGGCCTCAATGGTAGACTGTAAGCTGTCTTGCCACCAGTTGGCTTTTATTGTTTTATTCTGTTTATTTCGAGGCACCTGTAACAGACTGAAGTTTATTCCTTCAATTAATATAAAAAAAAAACTTCGAGTAGAATGACCACTCTAAATTCACTGCATGGAAATTCCGGTCACTTTACGGATTATAATGGCCACCTTGACCGCCAATGCCCGATAAGCACAACCTCAGATGCAAGTCGTGTTGACGTGAACTGGAATATATTTACACAAATCCATGTACGCAATCCTAACATTCACATTCTGTGTACTACATTTAAATGAAAAATTAATATCTTTCACACAAATTTCACTCTCTTCAGATTAGTATTTCTTTTCCCTTGGCACTACAGCCCCAGTGGCCCTAGGCCTACCTCCATGAACTCCGTTCACTTCGGTTTTTCTAGATCTTACACATACGGTAGGATTCCTTGGGCGAGTGATCAGCTCGTCGCAAGGCCTCTACCTGTAGACA